TGATGGAAGGCTGACTCCATGGCCCGGTGGGTAGAAGTACTCCGTTCGGCTCCCAAGATCCCTAGCAGGCACTTATAAACTTGCTGTGTTGTTTCTAAGTGGCAAGAGACAAACTGGTAAGCTGCTCTTTGGAAAAACATTTTTTTTCTTTTTAAGTATCACATTTTGAATGTGTTGAGTCTCTGCTCCCAATAAAGGAGTGGCCAATCTTGGTGTGACCATCTGTAAGCCTCGTTTCGGAGCCCTCTGTTCACACCAGAATCGCCCCCTCCATCTGTAACCAGTGGACTCCCTCAGGGCTGCCTGCGTGCTGCTCTCTGGGTTCCTTAAGCGAGACCCCTGGGGGAAGGCACTGAGGACACGCTGAGGGCTCCCTGACCTCTGTGTGGCCCCTGGATATGCCTCAGAGGCTCACAGGCTGTTTGTATACATGAGGGAAAAACTATTTAAACAATGGACTTAGATATTAATTTTTTTTAGGGGGACGAAGTCTCTGTCACCCAGGCTGGAGTGCAATGGTGCAATCTTGGCTTACTGCAACCTCCACCTCCCGGGTTCAAGAGATTCTCCTGTTGCAGCCTCCCGAGTAGGTGAGATTACAGGCGCATGCTGCCACACCCAGATAATTTTTTATATCTTAGTAGAGATGGGGTTTCACTGTGTTGCCCGGGCTGGTCTTGAACTCCTGAGCTCAGGCAATCCACCCACCTCGCCTCCCAAAGTGCTGAGATTACAGGCGTGAGTCACCACGCCTGGCCAATAAATTTTAAAGAAAAGAATAGCCACAGATGGCACTGACACCTTCCATGAAACAAAGAACCCCCTCCCTACCCTCTTCGGCCCTGAAGGTTCCTGAGTCACCAGGTCTGAGATGCTGTCTCATCCCAAGCAGGCTTTGACTTGGGGTACCACTTCCTGAGCCTCTTCTCTGGGAGATGCATGCTCTCTGAATGCCACTCTCTTGGGCCAAGTCTTTGTGGAAGCCTCGCCATCCACCCTCCCAATCCTTCACTGGCTGCAACCATTCCCTGGGGATGGTTCCTCCTTTCTCAACTTCCCCCTCTGTAAAGTGGGGAATAGGAAATGGGAAGGGTTAAATCGTGATTCCTGGAAAGGACCTTAGAGCGGCACTTGAGCACAGGAAGCAACTGCAAACATATGAGCCTGAAGGTGGGGTGCAGACCTAGGCAGCACCCGTATGCACCCAGCCCTTCCCAGTGCAACCTGCTGGCCAGGCCGAGAGCTAACATGTACACGAGGGTATGCGCTGCATGGCTCTATATCTACGCAAAGGGAAGAGGAGCTGTGGAGACGGGCAAGGCTGCGCTTGGCTTGTTTGGGACTTTACCAAGAGTTAGCGGTCATTTTGGACGACAGAGCCTCCTGGGGTATTTGAAGGTATGCTCAGCACACCTATGTCCCCTGCCTGTGTAACTGGGCACCCCACATATGGGTGCCAGGATCTGATTGCTTTGTTGAGTCTTGCGGTATGGCTGTGTGAGAGCATTTACAGAAATGCAGACTATTTGATTACACTGGTTTCCTTTGATTTCTCCCGATGTGGGGGTTATGAAATGGACTTTATTCCAACATAGGTAACATTATCCATGAATTTCATTTCAGGATAATGAAGAGTACACTGGACAATGTTTGCTATAAAAGGAGGAGGAGTTGGGATTATCGCACTGGATGATTTCCAAAGTTCTTTCCTAGGTTCTATGTTTCCAGGAACTATGCGGCACCTCTGTTTCTCCTGTTAATTGATTTGATTTTTCATAATGTACACATTTGCTCAGTGGCCAGTATGAACTGTCCTGAGCTGGGTGCTGACAGAATGCCCAGATCTGGGTTTCACAGCGCTCCCCTGGAGGCCATTTTAAGATGTGGCTGCAGGGAGGCTGCTTCCTGCAAAGAGCTGAAGGCCCAGGGCTCAGGGTGTCAGGGAGCAAAGGACTAATGTCCTCCCCTGGAGAAAGCAGGTGGCCATCAGGTGTGGAACCTACCAAGAAAGAATGCATACATTTGATCTAAAAAGTCTTAAGGTAGATTTGCAAAGCCTGAGCCACTCAGGTTGCCCATACTGACCAGTCCCCCCAGATCCTGACCTTCCACCTCAAGCCCTTCCCTCTCCCCAAGTCCTTGCCTAGCCTGGGAAACAGGGGAGGATTCCTGACCTTGAAGACGGCCAGTGGCGGCATCAGCAGTAGCTGGGCCGTGGCAGTAGCACCTATAAGAGGGGGCTTCCCTTAGAGGGAGAGGCACTCGAGATGAGAAGTTTAAAGAATGCCTCATGGATATTTAAGCCTCCAGGAGCTGGACACATGTGGATGAGACATGACGGGCCATGTAAACAGTGGAGGAGGAAAGGGGTGATGGGAAGAAGGGAGCCTTGTCTCAGCCTGAAATACATTTTTAATCTCATTTCCAGGCTCTCAAAGCATCGTTCCTCAGGCACAAGGACATGGTGTCTGCTCTTCCTGGGGCCTGTGATTACCGTATCTATTAGCCTCTGTCACAGGGTGCTGTCTACAGGACGGGCAGGGCACCATGGCACAGGGTGACACCTGTGCTTCACAGTGGGGGCCGGTGGTGTCCTGGGGCTCAGTGTTCTGGAGTCTTCCATCTCCTGCCTCCCACCAGGCCCTGCGACTTGGCAGTCTGGCCAGCTCGCCCCAGCAGGCCTGAGCCTGCTACTGTGGTGTGGCTGCTCCTGTTTTGCACTCAGAGGATGCAGGGTCCCATCCTGGAAGCTGCAGCCTCACTGTGATTTCCATGTCCCTCTCTGCTGAGGAGTCTTGTGACCTGAGAGCACAGCTGCGACTCTGTCCCATCCCCCCAGTGTCCTTCGAGGCACAGAGGGAGGGCTGCAGAGGTGAAGGTCTAAGGGGGCACATGAGTGCATGACAAAGAGCGTGGCCACGGCACCTGCCCTGCAGGGGGTCGTGGGACCTTATGGGTGAATGTGCAGCCCAGCCACAGGATGGTCTTGGACGCGGGGACCCGCACCACCCCAGGAGGACCCCAGTGGGCTGCTTCGACTGTGAGGCAGCCATAGGCCCACACCACAGTGGCTCTGAGGGGTGCATTGGGACCAGATCCCAGTGTTTAGAAACCAGGTCATCAGAAGTGAAACCACCCACAACTCTGCAAGGCTCTCCTGAAAGGCACCGAGCCACAGAGGCCTCCACGGGCATGCTTTGAAGGAAGGATGCTTTCACATGTGCCTTGAAAACACCAAGAAGCAGGATCTGGAGGCCTGGAAAAGTACTCGCTGCCTTTTGCCAGGAGGGGGCCGGGTATCTGGACCCTGTGCTTGGCACTGGGAAATGCTGGCCTTGGGACCATCATCTTCCTGTGACCACAGAGTCTCCCTGGGGACTGGACAGAGGACCCAGCCCCTGGCCTGGATCCCAGGTCCTGAAAAGGCCCTTCTGGTCTCCCAAGAGGCTGGGTCAGCCCTACAAAGAGCTAACCTCCCAGGAAGGCGGTGCAGGCATTCTGGACTGAAAGCGGGGAGACAATGGAAAGACCTCCTAGGCCTTACTGATCAAATCTGTCCTTCTGTGGCCAGTGCCACATCTGCAAATAATAAAGAACCGTAATGTGACATTCCTGTCATGGCTGGCTGCAGCCTCCCGTCCTCTCTCTTCTGCAACTTGGGTTCTGCCGCTGTGCTGCGTGTGTCGGCTCCTGGGAGCTCTGTATCTGTAGCTGTATCTGTATCTGTATCTGTATCTGTATCTGTATCTGTATCTGTATCTGTATCTGTTCTTGGGAAGGGGTCTTGAATGCCCTGTGCGTTTCTCACCTTCAGCTTCTGCTCCACAGCCCCAGCCTCATTCCTAACTCAGCCGCCAGGCCAGGAAGTGACACGCTGGTGCCACCTCTGGCGGAGGGCCGGGGGCGGCTGGGTTCTGTTCATTTGTCTGCGTCCTTTCCTTGCCAGCTGTCTAAAGGAAGGAGTAGCATTTGGGAGTCCTAGCGGGGCAATCTTCTTGCTGCATTTACTTCCTGAGCTGCACACTCAGTGGAAAAGGTCAGAAGCAGACACCCCGAGCTTCCTGCCCCTGGTGGGCCTGGCCAGATCACTTCCCGTTCCCTGGAACCATACCCAGTGGCAGGGACTCTGAAACAGCTGGTCTTGCCTGTCCGTCTGTCTCGTGGGGGAGTGAGTCTCTGCCTATACCACAAACAAGAGTGACAACAGGAAGGAGTTTCCTCTCCACTCGGCTGGTCACACATCCATCCATAGCTAACATGAGAAAACAGCAATGGTTCCAAACAAAATCCCCCTATTTCCCGAGCAAAGACATTGACTGGTGCCCTGGAATTGTGCAGTGCACAGCCTGTGGGGCCGGCCCAACATCGGCAGCACTGAAATGGCTGCTTAGAGGAAACTCAGCTGCAATGCTTTGAAAGGAAATGTTGACCTTTTGAGTTAAAAGCTCACCCTGGAGCAGGGGTGAGCAAGCTCTTCTCATAAGGAGCTAGTTAGCAAGTAAATATTTTAGGCGCTGCAGGCCTGGGTGTCAGTGGCTGCTCCTCTCTCTACCACTGTAGTGCAAAAACGGCCACAGACGATGCCTCGTGAATGAATGTGGCTCTGTTCCAATAAAACTTTATTTATAAAAATGGGTCGTGGGCCATAGTTCATTAATACTTGCTCTTGAAGCTTTTTTCCCTTTAATTTACCTCTAAGACTAATTACATTCCTATAAAATATGTATACAAGTGAAAGGGAGAACAGTAAAAGCTATTTAAGGGTAGGTTGCCTTTGTTCAGTCTTTTAAAGAGAATGTTGTCTTTCACATTGTTATTTTCAATGAAAACGTTCACACATGCATAAGGTAGTGTTATGCAAAACCTGTCACTGCTGAGTGTGCACAGGTGTGCTTCTAGGGGAGGTCTCCACAATCCCCCTCCCTGTGCAACGGGGTCCCTTCTGATGGCTCTGCCCCACCCCAGGCCCCGGCGTGCACTCTCTGGGGAGACAGGCATACCTTGTTCTCTCTGCTGGTCTCTCTGTTCCATGGACACGAGAGCAGAGAAATGTGCTTGATCATAGGCCAGAACCAGAGGCGAGCAGTGGCATCTGTTGGGAGGGACCTCCAAGGGCAGGTAGATCCCTCCGAATGGGATGGGTGCGAACGCTGTGGACACAAACCAGGGTGAGGGTGTGAGGAGCAGCAGCCTGAGCTGGGAGGGGAGGCCCCTGCGTCCCTGTCCCTCACTATCCCAGGGGGCTCCGTGGAGAAGCGGAGGGACAGGAGGGGCGGATGGAGGCGGTGCTGAGGGATGGGGCTGAGAGTTTCCAGAGTCATCTGTCTGCCCCAGGACTCCTGCGGCCCTGAGACCTGCACAGGTGTTCAGGAGCCCCAGGGCTGGGGTGACACTGTCACCCGAGATTGGTCAGAGCAGTCACAGCCTGGAAGCCCACATTTTTCTGGATGTACTTCCTCTCCTAGTGTTTGGTAAAGCATTTGTATACAACGCAATATCTACGCTTCTCGAAGGTGTATATTTGTTCTATATTTTGAGAACCTCTTCTGTTGAATCTGAAGGAACCAGCCAGAGAGCTCCAGGACCAAGATGTAAGTCAGATGGGAACTGAGAATCAAAGGGATCGAGTCCTTCAGTGACAGGGACACAATCTCATTTTCTTACTTGTAAAAAAGAGGGCAGAAAAGCCTAACACCCTCACCAAAATAGAATAACTTCGGAAATATCTGTCCTAAAGCAGCATCTGCTTTTAGCTCATGAAACGTCTTGCCTTTTGGCCCCAGAGTCAGCGTATTGCTGCACTCCTTGGGCAGAATTCAGGGACGGTAATTTCAGGGACGTCTTTGATGAACTCTTAGAGTTCCTCCCCCATCCTCACTTTGTCTAAATTGATCATTGTGCTTCTGCTCACAGGACAGTCCCACTGAGAGGCGGCAGGGTGGGAGTACCCGCAAGAGGGCTGTGAGTAGAATGGTAGGAAGGGTGGACCTTCCCTCGCCCCGCAACTCAGATATCTGATGGTGCTGGGAGCTCAGTCCTGGGCTTGCACAGCAGGGCCCCGATGCGAGTCCTGGTGCTGCACAGAGAGCTGCAGACCTCAGCAGGCCCGTGTCCCTGAGCCACACAGGGAAGGGGGTGGGCCAGGCAGGACCTGTGTCCTCCCAGTTCCCTGGCTACATAACCATTGTGGCCACATCAGATTTTTTATGGCAGCTGTTTAGCATGAAGAGCCACATCCTGGTGCGTGGAACTCCCTGGAAGACCTGTGACTTTTGTAAGGTGCAGGCGTAAATTCAAACTGGGCCGGAGGGATGCTCTGGTCAGCTGCACACTGGAGGGAGGACAGGCTTTGGAGCACTCCCTGCCCTGGGCTGATCCCCCTGGGGACATTGCCTAGCCTCTCTGGGCTTCAGTTTCACCTCTGTGAAGTGGGGAGGGTGGTGTCCACCCTGGGAGGCTGTGGCAAGGGCTGAATGGAGGAACCTTCGAGAAGCGGCTATGCACAGTGTGGCTTTCGGTGGGCAGGCCATAAACTGCCCCTGCCTCTTTCTCTGCCAGTTCTGATTCTATCATAGCCTTGCTATGCATTCTGTCTTCCTTTCTTTTTAGTCCTTAACACACAGGTGGCCTGTGGAGGGGCGGGAAGGCACCTGAGTGACTGAATGCCTCCAGGACATGGCCCAGGGCTGCTGGAGGGGCGTGGACTGTCTGCTGTGCCCTAGGCACACAACAGGAGATAGGAGGCCCTCTGGGCTTAGTCCTGGTCCCCACACGACCAGATTTCTCCTGGCCACCTGCTGTTGACAGGCAGAGCAGCTGGTGAAGAGCAATCCCTGCCGCCATCAGGGAGGAGAAAGAAACATGCTGAGTAGATCTTTGCACAGAGTGATGCTCTGTGGCCTCTGGGAGCTCTGTGGCCTCTGGGAGCTCGACCTTGCTCTGTGCTATCTGCTTTCTAGCTGGGATGCTATGCTTTCTGTGTCAGGAATACAGCACATCCCTTGAGGAACTTACCTTCTCCACCTGAGTCTCTTAACATGGTATCTGCCACAACAACGATGGGTCTTCTTAATATATGGGCTAGGACAAAAACGTGGAACTCTTCCAGGCTCTCATACACGGGGTCCTCGGAGTTGTCCACACTGTGAAACAAAACAGAGCCAGCCGGTCACTGACCGAAACAGCATGGAGGATGGAGAAAGTGGGGACTGCTTCATGCAGGGGCTGAGCCCTCCCCACTCTGGATATTATCTTCA